GATGATGTTTGATCGATGAGCAAACATCTTAGAAAAAATTACTTGTGCCAAGCATCGCTGCTCGTTTAGGCGTACACGAAGGAAAACAGATGATTTGAAGGAAATGGTATTATTCAAGAATCTCATTAGATGGCTACCCGAAATTCATCAGTCGATAGATAACTTAGCTAGTCTATTTCAAATAAACTGCCACCCGAAATAATTTATTCCATCCATATAATTCAAGGCTGGCATCAAATGATAATATTGTCAATCAATCTCACAGGGGTATCACCTCCATTTTTCCCACAATCTTCGCCAGGCTGCGGGCTTTCTATAGGCAGCATTGTCACAGCACCACTTAAGACGGCACCTCTTGAGACATCCACTACTTGCAATTTCTCGAGCGAGTCAACATCCGCGAGCGAAATGTAGTCGAGCTCGAATATTGCCCGCTCTGAAGGTGGCAGGGATTCCTGTTCACGTGCAATGGACTCCACAAGTCGATTTGCGGGTCGCAGGATATCCTCTCGGTCGCGCTTGCCCGACAAGTACGCCCTTTCCGCTTCCTTGAGCGCTTGGTACAGTACAAGTCCAACCTTGCGTCGTCTTGTACCAAGCATCACATTCCGCGAGCTCATTGCCAAACCATCTTCTTCTCGTACTGTAGGTCCCAATTTCACATCAGTCCCGACATGTAAGTCCGTCACCATCCGCTTGATCACGATAGTTTGTTGCACATCCTTTTGGCCAAAATAGACTCGATCGGGCGTTACAATGTTGAATAATTTCATGCAGACGGTGGCCACTCCACGAAAAAATACAGGCCGCGAAGCTCCTTCCAGCAGTGTCGCTAGAGGCGTGATGGTAACGAACGAACCGTATCCATCCAGTTCAGATGTTGGCGGCAGTGTCGGATACATGGTTTTGTTCGTTGGGGCAAAAATTGCAGAGATACGTCCTCGCGCCGAACCAGTCCTTGCGAGTGCCAGCTCTTCATCTAATTCCTTTAATTTCTGGATGTCTGCCTCCCACGTCCTGGGATATTTGTCCAGATCCTCATTAACTCCGAATTGGGTTGGATTAACGAAGATACTAACAAACACATCTGTGTTTTCAGTAGCTGCTTGGCGGATTAGAGACAGATGGCCATCATGTAAGGCACCCATAGTCGGGACTAAACCAACGGTTCTCTTGGACAGAAGTAACTGCTTTCGATATTGCCGGAGCGCGGGCACGTCGCGAAACACAGAAAAGGGCGCCTCGCAGGTGTTGGATGCCCCGTTGGGAGTGTTAGAGCGCCATGACGGCGTTGCTATACGGTGTAAGCCATTGGAACAAAGCATCGGAGGAAAGAGTCAGAGACCTACAGGAGAATCTCCTCAGCCAGCGTGAAACCATGGTAGGAATTTGATAGACCATATGGATGTTTAAAGTCAAGGAATGGAAGCCATGGAATAAAATTGGACAAGTAACATGAAGAGAAAGGAGGGACAGTAAAATATATATAACTTTGCATTATGGGGCAATGGAAAACCCCATTGCTCATATAAAATGAACAATTGCAAACAGCATTGTTGTCCTCTGTAACACTGTTCGCAAATAGTTTTATGCTGTTGAACATCAATGTAAACGGTGCAAGCTCCCGAAATGGATGGTGAGGCATTGTCACGTGTGTATGCGCTCACCGGGCGGCACTTGTAGGAGGATAACTAGTGGTTGTCATTACTAAACTAACTACGCGAGAGAACACAATATGTTGGGGGGCACGTGATAGGGTAGCCGTAGTACCCACTAACACCCCCCCGTGCTACGGCGCCGCCAATGCAGTGCCGCCCGGGGCCCCCCTTTGCTCAATTCTTCTAAAAACACAATAACAATTAATTACAAGATTTGGACCCTGATTTCCTCTTTGGGAATAGGTGCCTGTAGAGCAATAACTGTAAAAAACAGGATAACACAAGCAAAATTCTGTAATCTGCTGTACCACCATTACCTTCAACCTTCTTTGCCAATCTCCATTAACCCAATTCTTCTAACAAATTCTTCAAAAGCAGGCCTTGCCAGCGGCTTGGTGAGGCCGTCAGCTATATTGGCCGTAGAACCAACATGTTCCATCATGATTTCACCTTTTTCAACCAAATCGCGGAGGATATGGTATCTTATCTCGATATGGCGCGACCTTCTTGTTAAGGATTCTCCTTTCGCTAGGTCTATCGCTCCCTTGTTGTCAACTTGCAAATGCGAGCATATATTTTGCAACCGAGGTCTGCCGTTGCAACCGCCACGAGATTGGTGCTCCATTTAGCAGGATATTGTGGCGGACGTAAAGCTTGCGAAAACAGAATTTTCTGCCACCCCCTGAAAAATAGTAGCAAAACACTGCAAAAATAATCAAAATATCCACATATCTCTAGAATCATTCAAATATCATTCAATTCATTTAAATACGCACCTTTATCATCAAATCTGCCAATATGCCCCCTCAGCTCAGTGAATTTACCATCAATGAGATCGTACGCCTTTTAAATAATGATTATATATCTGCTCAGATTGCGCGGATCATTGAGTGTCATCTGACCACTGTATATTGAATTCAATAAAATATTCACTGCTTTGGAACTGCTAGAAGTTCTCATTCAATATGAGATGTAAAATTAAAGATCACATTGAATATTTTATCAAATTTGAAGAATTTTTTTGAGATATATTCAATTGCATATTGCAATGAGATTGTCTGCTTTATGAAGAATGAATTTGATGTTGATATCCACTCTCAATTGATATCTAGATTGTTGAAGAAATTGAATTTGACATGAAAGAAAATGATTAATTATTGCAATTATTATTTATAAAATCTGTTAATCTGTCAATTTTGTTTGATATAGATTGAATCTGTGACCAGTCAACACAATGAAAAACCTTGAATTGAATAATGTATTCAAATTATTTAATATCAATTTAATTAACTTATCTTTTTAAATGAGAGTGCTGTGAATGAATATACTTCATATAACGATGTGACGGTTGGCCGGAGGCTGCAAATGGCTGTTGTCGCCGCTGCTTTCGGCCTCCCGCTAACCGCCCAACCTCGATCATCACGTGAATCTATCCCCACGGCCGCGACCCTTCCCTCCACGCGTGGCCACGATTTTAGAAGTGCATTTTCGTGGCTTTCAGTCACCCTTGCTCACCCTCGCTCACCCACTGCCCTTCCTTTGGGAGGGGAGGGGAGCTGTTTTTGATGCTTCACTCTGTCAGATTTGGCTCCTTCCCCAGATCATGGATTGTGTTGTTCTCTCTGCCTTCAGTCTCCATCACTCTCATCATGCCGCCTGCAGCTTCCTTCCCTCCCTTCCTTCGCAGCATTACTGGGCCAGTTCTATCCAGGAAAGTGTCTAAGTCTTTCATTACTTGTTTCTGTCTCTCTCTCCTGTCGGCTCTCTCCTTGGGCTGTCCTGATCATGGTGCCTGTCTCTTGTTTGGCCGGGTCTGACAAGCAGAGCAGGAGCAAGACGGATGTCAGATCTGCTCTGAATACCCTCTCTGTGCTGGATGCCATCTTTTCAGACAGTGGGTCTGAAAGTGGCTCCGTCAGCAATGATGAAGACGACGACGACAGCCAGCTCCCCTCTGAACACTACCTGGCCTTAGCAGAGAGCCTTAATATCGCTCAGCTTCGACAGAAGTGGTACAGCCCCAGAATCCAGGAAAAACTCGATGAGATTGTGGTTACTGAGAGAGGTAGGCAGTGGCTCATTTGATCCTTAGACTGTGTTATAAGCTCACCAGTGGCGCTGGGCAGGTATTGTCGGCATATCAAGGTGAACGCGGAGCGGCAATGGGATCGGATCTCTAATTCAGAGGAGACGGTTCGCTTCCTGTATGCATTCTTTAGCTGGCGGTGTGATATCCGTCGTGGCAAGAACAATCGATACTGTCCGGGCATTAAGCGCAAAAGCTCACTGGAGACATTTTGGAAGTGGTGGCACCTTGTCCTCAAACAGGAAATGGCATCGGGACTCAGCAAAGATACAATTGTCAAGGTGGAGAATGTGAGCATCTATACTCTCTCTTCTCAGATCACTTAATCAGAAGCACCACTAATCTCTTGCAGATTGTTGCACAGATGGCCACAGAAAAAGAGCTGGCTCTTGTTGAGCAGTCAAAGAAGAACATGTATATTGAAGATGTTGCTGAGTTCGCTCAAGTCGTTCTCATCACCACTGAGATGACATTTGTCTGCAGTTGGCAGTGCATTCAAATGCTTCTCTTCTTGCAGCTTGCCGCCATCACCGCCAGCCGTCTCTCGGCGATCCTCCATCTTCGGTATTGAGATGTCGTGTTAACCCTGATTCGAGTTCCAGACGGCGGACGCCCCCGATTGTTCATATTCTTAAAACCAGAATTTACTAAAAGATTTCTCGGAGATAAGGCACCGTATGTGTTTCTGATCCTCGCGGCATGACCTGGTTGACTGACAGAATTGATAGGAACGAGTTTAAGATTCCGGAAATCATCTTTGATTCAACTCTGATTCTCAGCCTGCATATCTGCCTGCTGACTCTGCTCTTTCACATTGAAGGATTCAAGTCAATTTTAACAAGTGAATCAGTGTTGAATTGCGCAGAGAAACTCTACAGCGTCAAAATGCTGGATGGCAAGGGACAGCAGCTGCTACTACTAAAGGATGAATTACTGGATAAGTTTGTGTTTTGCCAGACAGAGCCAACATCCACCGGATTTAAAATTTGCTTGGATCAGAGGATGACTCCATCCATGGTGAGTTCCCGGATGCGCCGAGCCGGTGAGATCACGGGCTTTGAGGAGGTCGCCCACCCGTACAACCTCCGATATGTTGGAGCTAAGGCATTTACAACAGCGGTAAGTAGCCCTCCATTTTCTTCATGTTGCAGTCATGTCGGAGGGCTAACGATGAACAGAGGAAGTTACGGAAGCTCTTCAGAACATCATGCTCCAGCACACGGATATTCACACCTTCATCAAGCATTATCAGATGGACGTCGACGTTGATGTGCAGGGAATAGTCCGGAAAACATGCTCCCAAACAGCATTGGTGCAATTTGCCTGCTCGATGAGTGCATCCATCGACCCCAACCGACTGTATAAGCTCTCTCCAGAAGAATCACGGTCCCTCAATTACCTTTCAGTTGTCCGTGGCCGTCAGGATACTGTCCAGAAGCGCAAGCGGGAATGGGAGGATCATGAAGCCGAGTTAGAACATGTCAACAGAGTATGCAAGACTTCTCTAGGGCACCTTGACAATAGAGTACTCGCTGAGTCCAACCCTGAGGTGCTGGAGAGACTGGAAGTTTTCCGTGATCAGACAGCAGAAGCAAAGTCAGAGCACAACAAGGCTACCTGTGAGTTGCACAACAAGAAGCAGCGGCAGCGGAACCGACAGATCTGTGAGAACCTTGAGCACTATAAGAATGAGCAGTCTGTGATTGATCTTGAGCGACAACTGGCCGGGAAGCTGGTGGATATCAAAGTCATGGACACTTTCGAGCACGAGGCCTTCATGCCTCCCGAGCATTTAATGTTTGTTGACTGTGTGCTGACCATGCCGGGCGCTAATCTTGACGCGGAATATCAGCGGAGGATCAACACAATCAACGCAGGAGTTGCATTCTGTGGCGTGGAGGAAGGGCGGTCCTCGCGCCGGCCCACGCAGACCCGTGGCCGGCCCACGGTTGATGATGACCCTTGTTCTCTGATCAAGCGGCAGAGGTGCTCGGTGAAGGATAACACTGAGGTCCTCTTGCATCAAGCAATGGAGTCTGTGCAGGTCAAGTCTACAGCTGAACAGCCTCAGACCTGCTTTCGGCCTCGCGTTTGCTTTCTCTGTGTTGGGAATTCTAGTTGCGCGCTGGAGGACTGCATTATGAAATACGCAACATCCGGATCACTTACAAGGCACTTTCTACGAAGACATATCAACCCTCCATGGCCGGCCACTGGGGTTGAGTGCAATGTTTGTGAGGGGAAGGTGCTCCCGGCCAAATCTACTCTTCTAAGTCATGCAGAGGAGGCCCATGGAACTGTTGTGCGGGGTCGCGCTCGGGAGAAACTGGCGTTGGAATATCAACGGAGCCTAGAGAACTAGTTTTGTGTTTTGTACAATAGAGATATATATATATAATAAAAGGAGTTGCGGTTCTCACAAATCATGTCCATCCTCACTCTTACTCAAATGCATGCTATATCAAAACACAAACAAAAAGCAAGTCACGCTACAATACGCTATCAACATATACACTGAATCTGCATTAGTTTACAATGTTTGGGTTATTTTCCCCATCTTGAAGCGTTTCAATCATGTTCCGGGATGGATTGGAATTTTCTTTCTTCCACCGTCCGCCGTTTGGAAAGACAAGCCGTCGTAAACGGTTGACACAAGAGATGAAGGACTGATAGCTCGGTGTGAAATAGTCTCCAGCAATTCTAAGAAAGTCGCTCTCCTCACTTATCACTCCTTGCTTTGCAGCCGCCAGCTCTTCAGTACTCATATAATTCCATTTCTCAAACCGCTCGACAGTGCTTCCCTTCCCTGGGCCGTCATAGTGAATGCATATCCAGAACAGGACCCAGAAGAACGACTCCAGATCATGCATGAAACAATGCTTTTCGCCGTACAAGACACCGATGGCCATGAACGCCCTGGTGCCCGTCTTGCCCCGTGCGCCGGAAGATGCATCCCGTTGTACCCTGATTGCCAGGTCAAGGTCGATCAGAAAGGCAGGCCATGATGGGTTGTCCTTGTCTTCGTTCACCATCAGGTTCCGGGGGGAAACGTCGCATTGGATGAGGCCAGCCTCGTCATGGAGTGACATGTATCCTTCAATACAGCCGGCCAGCGCAGCGAGCAGAACGGCCTTCGAGCTACTCTGGTAGATTGGTTTCCCGTAGTCCCGGATAACGACGCGGCGGTGCACTCGGTTTAATTGGGTTGAGCCGCCGGCAGGTTTGGACGGAGAACTTGACTGGGTACGTTTGCTTGGGGGAGGAGGAAGCGCTGTGTCCACGCAGTCAGAGGATCGCTTCTGGCCGGCGGTGCTGCCCTGGCTCTTTTGTCCTCTTTGAGACATACTACGCCGCACTGTCGCCTTAAAGCCACCCTTCTCATCTTTCGTCGGAATACTGAGGCCCTTTCGGATAGCCAAGACATCATCGACCTTGCCGTCAATGTGAACGGTTTCGTGGTGATAGTACTTCGCCACATTCTTGACCCCCTTCGCCATCGCTTCTCGCAACAACTCTCCTTCCTCAGTGCGTTCCGGATATTGCCAGGAGTCCTTGACAACCAGCGGCGTCCGTAATTTGTCAGTCTCACAGTGTGCCTTCCAGCAGGTTGTGGCTCGCCCGGCGACGCAGCGTGCTCGTCCGACAATCCCGTCGATGATCAGCTGTTCCTTCGTACCGTCTTTCTCAATCTCGATATACCGTTCGGTCCCGGTCGTGACGATGGTGGGATCAAACCCAAGTTGCTCCCGGCTCATCAGGAGGAATCCAAGGACAACAGACACAAATTGAAGGCCGTCCTGGTTGATGTTGAACTCCTCCGACGCGATCCCGCCCAGGCGGTCAAAGTTCCATAGTCGCAGAAATGGCCCGCAAAGGGTGAACCCCAGCACGAAACGACGAGTGTCCTGCGCAGAAAGGACCTCCCTGGAATACCTGCCAAGATCAAACCATGCCCCGGATTTCCTGTCGTATTTCAGATCATTCTTCAGCTCTCCTGGCACCAGAATCTGCGACCAGCGGCATCTGGAGTCTTCTGTGGCCGTCAGATCATCGACAAAGCCGATATCGAGCTTTCTCTCCGCGATAGACCCCTGTAGTGGCTGGCTTGGCTGTGCGAGAGGTCTGCGGTCGATCTTCCAGGACGGCTCTTGTGCTTCGGCTAATCGTACGAGCTCAGCGATGATGTTAGCCAGCCATCCCAGAACGTCTTTTTCTGCCGCAAGTTCAGGCCAGCCCCGTCAGCCCTCCTCTTCACTGTAAAGTGGGTTGTCTCCCCTCTTGCACCCTTCCAACACCGCTTGTGAAGTTGCAGTGAGTTGTGGAATGTTTCCAAAGTACGCATCAAAGAACCCAGGGATATCGACGTGTATCTCTCCAAGCTCCTCCTTCAGCACAAAGTCAACGTGCTTTTGGTATTCTGTAGAATTGACGAAACTGCTAGTGTTGCGCAGCCAGGGAGTTTGTGGAATGGATGAAACGGTTCGGGGCGGAGGGGTTGCTCGCGAGACGGTGGTGATGAGGTCGAGGACAGCTTTCCAGATATCGACATTGGTCGCCTTTTGGATTTTAAGTCGTACTAGTGTGCGGTAGTGTTCGTAGCTGAAGTCGCCATCTTGAAGGCAGGTGAACAATCTTGACAGCTCAGATGCCACATTTTTATTGCTTGCTGGAAAACGAAGGTTGAATGCAGCTTCCTCCCCCATCAAGGTGGTGAGAAGCTTTGATATTGCCCTTTGGCAGATTGCATCTTGAGGGTCAGTGGTAGCATTATATGCTTGTTCTGCCTCTTGAAGTAGATCTTGTAATCGGTATAGTGAGTCGCTTAGAGGATGGTTTGTGATGATATCGCAATCGTGGTCCGAAAGCTCAGCCATATATGATGAATGAGAAGCAAACTGCAGAATTGTTAGCAAGTTATGATGTATGATATCTGCGAGAGAAGATAGCTCACTGGGAACGAATGCTGGTATATATAATCAAAGGCAGGAGGATTATGGTCAAAGGGTTGATCCGGCTTGGCTTTGATGCAGTACGTGAATGAAAGAACGACTAGAGCTGCCAAGCGAACAAAATAGGGGGATTGAAATCGTAGTTGAGAACATCGGCTATTCCCTATTCCCATTTAGGATTAATGTAGGCCAACCTTAGAAATCAACCCGTTGTGTTGCAGATGCGGTTAGAGTCACAGTCCGACATGAGCCAATGATAACACAAAGCACAACAGTTGGTCAACCAGCTGTAGAGTGAGAGGTAGCAAGCAAATCATGATTGGAGGATCCCCATCTCCCCTTACTACCTCTGTCCTCTCCTTCGCTTCTATCTGAATTGGTTAGAGGATGGTTCTTGATAATGTTGCGATCTTCTTGTGAAAGTCCCGCCACTTTGATGGTATAAAAGACCCTTAAGTTAGTGCGAGGAATTGTAAAGAGAGGGAAAGTTACAGGGTGCTATGCTAATTTTACCACCAAACATTTTCTTGGCCAAAACAAATGACTAAGCATGGAGCTTAACGTAATCCACAAGCAAGTCGGCCACTCAAAAACACATATAAAATGCAATAAATTACAACATTATATCTCAACAATTACTGAAGATATAGATTAGATATCTTAATATTTAATTAAATATAATATTAAAAGTATATTTCTTAATTTCTAAACTACCAGCTGATCTTATTACTTATATTATAAAAAATACATAGTAATTTATGTAAAATACTTAAAATCTAGTATTATATATTATATTTTACAGAAATCTAGTTCAAATTCAATAATTAATTAGAAAAAAATATATATATTAATATATTTTTTTATTTGAAACTATAAATTATCTAGTTGTTGAGATATAATGTTGTAATTTATTACATTTTATATGTGTTTTTTTGAGTGGCCGACTTGCTTGTGTGTCCGACTTGCTTGTGGATTACGTTAATTGATTTTTGATTTGGTTATCTTTGGATGTATTATTCAATTACATGTACGAGCTTATCGCTCTCTTAGCGCAAGGCCTCCTTGAATATTTCCAATCAGAGTCAGTGACAGAAGATTGCCACTTTTTGACTCTAAAATACATTATAGCACACGAGCTGCAGTGTGCTAAATTATTGCGGAGCTAGTTCCAATTAGAAAGGCAGCTGTAAATAATACTCATAAACATCACCTTCAATCTCACCTCTACAATATGAAGCTTTACATGTTGTGGAAGAATAGCATTGTTAACTCATGTTGCAGAATTTGTGACTGTTACAGCTGTGATTGCAGCAGCAGATTTGATTCAGAGTTTTGTGACTGTTTAAATTTCTGATGAAGCTGCTTCACTTTTTCATTATAAGCAAGAAGATCAGACTCTGCTGCACATTCAAAGAAATTATTTATATCATCAAAATTGATCTCTTTATCCAGCTGAGCATTCTCAATATCTTCAATCATTAGCTGATTTGTAACATCCTCATTGACTGATAATGCCTCTAAAGTCTTTTGATTAATATCAATATTGGCATAATCGAAATGATTAACTCAAAGAAAAGCTAGCCATTGTTTAACAACAGTCTTCAGATAATGAAATCACAACAGAATTGATGAAAAAGGCAGAAATCAGCAAATATATTTGAAAGCTGTAAAATAATGATATCAGATTGTAAATGCAGTTAATATCTTGAAAAAAGTTGATAATATAATTTTTATACTTGTATTGCTGATCATGAATCTGATGAATTTCCACAAACATATAAACCTGAGCAATAAGCATTTCCTCAACCTGGTTTATAGAAGAAAGGTTGATGTAAGAAACTCGCACTAAGGTGCCAGTGCTAGGCCGGAATTAGTGATAGCTCTAAAGATATGACATCGCCGAACATAACAACCACCAACATCATATCAGGATATGACATCGCTGAACATAGCACCACCAATGTCATATCAGATTTGAAATCAAAGCATTATCTTGCCACTTGCATCATACTACACCATCTACATCATAGCAAGTTCGATCTGCTTACGATACTGTATGTATATAGCTAGCAGCTGGTCCAACCTTCTAGGGACCAGCAGATCATTCTGTTATAATCTGACCCCTATATTCTACACCCTCAATATCTAACTACTTGATCCGAATCCTCTCCAATATATCACCGTATTATCTCCTACTGCTTGATCCTTGTAGAGTCCTAAGGACCAACCGAAATATAAGCAGCCATTTCCAACATCGCTGCTTACAGTTGAGAACTTGATCAGAGTTCAGATTGTTATTTGCAAAAAAGAAAAATAATTCATTTATTTATCAATTTTTATCAATTGTAATACAGTGAATACAGATGTTGTTTTTCAATTTCATATTAAATCATTAATATTAACAGTGACTGCAGATTTTTATAACCTCATTTTTGAGAGCTTTATGAAAGTTTTGAATATATTATCAGTCAGTTGATGTCAATGCTGAGTCTTTGAAAAGAGTAGAGCTGTTAAACACTATTATTATTATTATTATTCTTCCGTTATACTTGTATGCAAGCAGTGCTTATGACGAGTCCTTGTGTAATGTTAAAGACAGGCAAGAGTTGGTTATACAGGAGGAATGCTTAGTGTTGAATGATGTCAAGAATATAACAGACACATAGAAAAATTAATAAAAGTCAGGATTTGATACTTGTGATACAGATTTCCAGCTCAGAAACAATAAGCTAAATCAGATAGTAGATCCGCCCGAAGGTATTTACTTGACAGATTCACATCCCTTTATTTTAGAAGCTGAGAAGTTGGCTTCCGATGCAATGTTGTTCCCTTGTGAGTTTCAAACCCACGCGCTTTGAATCCCCACATCAAGGCGCTATCTGATGGACACTAAAAAGAGATTTGAATTCATAAGATTCTTCATAGTAAATGAAGTGGGGAATTTCAAATACAAACATGAATGAAGATCAGTATTAATTGATGAATCACTCATTAAACTCTCTGAATAATTGTGCATCCTTACAACTACCCACGAACGTAGGGGTACATTTGAATTTTCCACTTTTCTAACTGTTTTTCGTATAATTTTAACCCCCAACCAGTTTGATATCATCACATGGCCTCTGTGATTTCTCTACGTGTGTGTACTGCACAGGTTGAGTGGTCATGAAGCCCTCAACGCACTCCCGTCCGCCCAAGGACATCGACACAACCTACACCAGGCCACTGGAGTCAGAGTCATCGGTCAATTTTGTCACTGAAAAGGCTGGCAAGAGGCAGAGGAAGATTGTCACAATGCCTCCCCCAGTTCTCAAAGAAGTCAGCAACAGCATCCCCACAGCCACCTCTCAGCTGCAGAAACAGTTTGAGAAGGCT